TAATTCTTAGGAAATGATCAGCTTTGTATGTAAATCTTCAGACTCTGTGTATAAGCATATCTTAAATTCTCAAAAATAGGGGATTGGTTTAATTATTTGTGACATATCCATTCAATAAATGCAACTATTGAAAATCATGATTTTGAAGAATATATGAGGAAATGAGGGAAATAACATGTTTGCCACAGGTTAAATGAAAAACACACACAAAAAAACACGCCTACACACACAACCCCATAAAACAAAAACAGTCCTAAAATGGTGGGGGGAGGTCCCAGTTTAGTCTTTGTTTGGAAATAATGTATCATATTTTTTTCCTTTTCTCTTTATTATTGTTGTTGTATCACAAGTAAAATACGCTCACTGAATGAAAATTAAGATTTGTGCAAAGAAAATAAAGGCAGAGAAACAAAGACCACGTATGTTTATGTTCATGACTGAAAGATAGCTAGTGTTAAGACCTTTTTGTATCATCTTCTATGACTTTTTTCTATTTTTTTAACAAAAATATCGTTATACTCTAATGATATTTTATAACCTTTTTAAAGTTGAATTAATGTCAATGTATTTTCTTATTTAAAATAGATGCATATCAATCCGTTGTATAGATGAAGCCATAGTTAACAACTTCTCTGTTACAGCATATTTAGCTCGTTAATAATTTCTTGCTTCATAAATAATGGAAGGACTAATTTCTTTGTATGCATTTTTGCATATTTTCTATTTAGGATACACTACTGCTAAAAGTAGAATTGTCGTGTTAGAAAAATTGGCTACATATTTAAAAGTCTTTTAATGAATCAATGTCATTTGTGTACATTTTTGTACATATATTTAAAATATTTTTCTGACTGAAAGGAAATATCTGATTAAAACCTGTTTACACTTTATAGGATCTTAAAATACTGGTTTTTCCTGTTTTCTTTAAATGTTCTGATTTTTCTGCAATGAAGATGCATTAGTTTTACAGCCAAAAACCTGTGTTGTAATCAAAGGTAATGTAGTCTCCAAAGTGTATTTTAAAGTTGTAAATATCAGCATTTACTTATCACTGATGCCATTTTCTAGAGCACAGCTTGTTCTTTTAGTTCATTTCTGTAATCATCTGATACTCTTGTGATGCCACTGAAGAGGAATAACTCTAAATGTCAGAACTGAGTATGAAATTGTTTCTTTTAAATTTCGTTTTTATCTGTTATCCCTAAACTCAGTAGCAGCCTGGTTGATGTTAGCATTAGCATGCTGGTTACTGAGGAATATTTGTTGTTCTGTTTTTATAATTTTACCTAGAATTTCTGTAACTTTTAATTATGGCGTTTGGAAATAATATTTGTTTCCTGAATCTTTGACTGTCTCTAGACCCTCCGCTTGAATTGCCATCTTTCTACATGACTCCATCTCATCGCCAAGTTGTGTTTGAAGGAGACAGCCTTCCTTTCCAGTGCATGGCTTCGTATATTGATCAGGACATGCAAGTGTTGTGGTATCAGGACGGGAGAATAGTTGAAACTGATGAATCGCAAGGTATTTTTGTTGAAAAGAACATGATTCACAACTGCTCCTTGATTGCAAGGTAAACTTTTTTTTTTTTTTAAATGAAGAATTGTGCTTGTATATTTTATTTATCCTTTTGGAGTTGCAATGTTTAGTGGAATTTGAATTAATATTTCATCTTCTTGTATTTAAAAATGCAAACATCTGGCATTTCCTTTTCCTGGTTCTTATTCATCTTCTAAAATTAAATAGCCATCTTTTCATCCAGTTTTTAAAGAAAAGGCTTAATTTCAAAGAGAAACTTCAGAAATTGGAGACTTTTTAAAAGTCTTTGGGGGAAAAATGTAAACTTTTAGTGCTAAACCTAATTTCCAACTATTTCCTGCTGCTAAACTTGTATTTTCTCTTTTAGTAACCACCTGACATTGACTCTAGTCAAAATATTGACTGATACAATATTTTAAGGTACTTACCTTCTCCACCTACTAGTTTCAAAGAATATAACCTCTGAACTATCAACCTCATGATTGGTGTGACTACCAAAATAATTCAAATGAACTTTATAAAGTATAATAGACTAAGAATATATATGATATTATCACTTACCAGATATTTTACTTTGGTAAAATTTTTACCTATAGACATTGAGTTTTCTGCTCACTTTCTTCTTTCTTTCCACCTACCTAGAACTTGGCTTATATTTTTATTTCAGTAGAGCTACAGTTGTCAAACTCTCTGCCAGGGCCTCCTAGGGTAACATCACAGCAAACTCGTAGGAGTGCTATGAAATATTACTGAAAAAACTAAAGGTTCTGAGTTGACATTCAAATCTCAGGGGTTCTCTGAGTTGAGATTCAAGACTTACGCAGTCGGCTATTTTATAATTTTTCTTGAGATTTCATGTCTACTAGAAGCACATTGTCATTTATATCTTATAACATTTAGAGTAGATGCTTTTAAATCCTTTCCTGCTAATTCCAACATGTGGGCCATCTTGTGGTTATTGCTACTGGCTGCTTTGCTGTTAAATATGGTTCATATTTTCTTCTTTTTAAAAAAATATTGTTTATGTGTCTGACAGTTTTGGGTTATAGACTCGACATTATGAATGAATTGCTGTGGAGGAGAGGTTTGCAAAGTATAGCCTATGAACCAAATCTGGCCTGCTGAGCCCATAAACTAAGAATGTTATTTATATTTGAAATGGTTACATTTCAGATGGTTACATAATTACCTATATAATATTCTTAGTATTGCTTCGTAGCCAGCAAAGCCTAAAATATTTACTGTCTGGCCATTGAAGGAAAAGTCTGCTGACCTCTGACTCTGGATTCTGTTGTATTCCCCTGAAGAGAGCTAACTT